CATGCTTCCCCTGGTGGGAGGGGACTAAACGCAGGGAAACGACGCAAGTGAGGGAAGCAAGGATTCCATTTAATCGACCTGAAAAGCAGCTCCTCTCTTTTCCTCCGTACCCAAATCTCTAAAAACGGGGCTACAACGGAGATGATCCAGATTTGCGTCCGATATGACGTAATATCTGAAATGTGGACCCACGGCCCAATCAGAAACGTTGCTATCAGAAACAATGCCCGACTGTTTTGGACGTAATATGGTCGATGCATGTTTACATTAGCATCGCTAATACTCAGAGCTAACCTGTACGGCACAGAGCATGTGTGTGAAGAAGCAGGAAGTAAAAAGGAACTCACCTTGTGGTATAACCGGCAAGAGAGAAAGCCTTCGAGCTCCAGACTGTTTCAGAAACAATCCTTGATAATCCATGATATTGCGTTTCATCACCGCAGAATCTGCCGGTAGCATCTCCCCCTCCTTTTTTTTATCCATTTTTTTTTTTTTTAAAGCTTTATACCCCAAATCAGCACTTTTGAAACAGGAAGTAAAATAGAGGGATATGAGGCATGGCTAGAATGGGTGATCTGTTTGGTATTTTGAGAAAAACACTTCACAGACATGTTTTGTATATATTTGTATATATCTGAGACCTATGTTATTGCCTAAAAATAGCATGATAGGTGACCTTTACGATTCTTGATTTCCTTTGACTTTGTTTCAGGACTTCAAAGGTCCTCTGCACTCGGACTATAAGTTTGACTGGGACCGGATGCTGCAGGCTCAGGGAGACACGGGCGTCTTCCTCCAGTACACACACGCTCGACTCTGCAGGTCTGATTTTATACACACACACCTAAAATAATATATTTCTCAGAAATCCTGATTATGACTAACATACAGTTTATACATAGACGTATTTATTTTTCACTTGAAACTTATGCTTATTGGCTCTTAAAGTTTTTAATTTAACCAGAAAAGACTTGTCAAGGATTCAACTTAGACAGGTTTTTTCAGATCACATGAATGGCAATAGCCGGAAAGGTTATTATGAAGTTTATGCCCAAAATATACTGCCTACCCCGCCTTTAATCCATCCGTTTCTGTCTTAACGGTATAAGAAAATAAAAATAAACAACATTTATATTACAATAAATATATATATATTATTATCTATATATGTATAGTAATTGACACAAAACACATAGAATAAACAAGAGCTGTCTTCTAAAGTGTTTTTATTTACACCTTTTTATTAATGTTGTGTTCTTCCTGCAGTTTAATACGCAGGAATGAAGGTGTCGGTGGATTTATATTTGATCCATCGCTCCTACTCGAGCCAACGAGCATCATCGTCCTGCAGCACCTCCTGCGGTGAGCAAACAACTTTCCTAAAAACATGCCCGATTACTTCTGGTAACAAGACAAGAAGATCACGCCGTCTGTCAGTGTTGTGCTAAATGTTTTGTACTTAAGCATATAACATTTTATTTGCAGCTACGATGAGGTTTTGTACCAGTCGTCCCAGGATCTGCAGCCCAAACACCTCGTCAACTTTTTATTGAAGCTGTGGTGAGACGGGAGGTTTAAGTTCAAGTTTAACTGGCACTTTACTGTTTGTATGGTCATTAAGTCCACACGTGTATTAAAAGTCTTCCTCTTCAATGTCTTCCAGCCACCTGGTTGCCTCGGCACACAGAGAGCTGCCGGTAAAAGGGAGCAGTCAGGATGTTGCACAGGTAAATAGGAAGTTGCTAAAAGTACATACCTATGTGTCCTTTTCAAATGCACCGTCATGGAACTTTGTACAATGAGTAAATACTTCCTCGTAGGGACAGTTCAGTTTCTTTAGGCAAGGCAAGTTTATTTATAGCACCTTTCAACACAAGGCAATTCAAAGTGCTTTACAACAATGAAAAACATAAAGAAAATGGCATTTCAAACCAGTCATTAAAAAACAAAGATAATAAAATAAACATTCAAAGAAAAAGTACATGGATAAAAGTTACAGTGCAGTCTAAGATATGAATAGTTCAATTAAAAGCAGCGGCAAAAAGAAAAGTCTTCAGCCTGGATTTAAAAGTAGTCAGAGTTGCAGCGGACCTGCAGCTTTCTGGGAGTTTGTTCCAGATATTTGGAGCATAATAACTGAACTTCTCCATGTTTAGTAGACTCTGGGGACAGAAAGCTGATCAGTCCCTGAAGACCTGAGAGATCTGGATGGTTCATAATTTAGCAGGAGGTCAGAAATGTATTTAGGGCCTAAACCATTCAAAGCTTTATAAACCAGCAGCAGTAATTTGAAATCTATTATTTGACACACAGGAAGCCAGTGTAAAGACTTCAGAACAGGAGAGATGTGATCCACTTTCTTAGTGTCGGTGAGGACTCGAGCAGCGGCGTTCTGAATCAGCTGCAGCTTTCTAATAGATGTTTTAGTGAGACCTGTAAAGACACCATTACAGTAGTCCAGTCTACTGAAGATAAAAGCATGGACAAGTTTTTCCAAATCCTGCTGTGACATTAGTCTTTTAATCCTAGATATATTCTTAAGGTGATAGTAAGCTGATTTAGTAACGGTATTAATGTGACTGTTGAAACTCAGGTCAGAGTCCATGACTACACCTAGATTTCTGGTTCTATCTGTTGTTTTGAACATTGCAGACTGAAGCTCAGCGCTAACTTTTATACGTTCTGCCTTGGCTCCAAAAATCATTACCTCAGTTTTATCTTTGTTTAAGAGAAGGTTCTGACACATCCAGTCATTGATTTGTTCAATGCACTTACTCAGTGTTTTAACTGGAGCATAGTCTCCTGGTGAAATGG